AAAGATGGAAGAGTAGAAAGGGGAATAAAGTCACTTAAGGTTTATTGTACTAACACTGATAGTGGGTGCAAATGGATGGGGACTATTAAGGATATTGATACTCATCTTATTATTTGTCCCTATCAAGTGATACATTGTACTAATAAATGTGGAGAGAAGTTTAGGAGAGATGCATGGTGGGCACATATCACAATAAACTGTCCTAAACGACAAGCTCAGTGCACATATTGTCTACAGAAAGGACCTCACCAACTGATAACAAGCAGAAGCCATCTCAATAAGTGTCCTGATCTCCCAATCCAATGCAGTAATGAAGGTTGCGATGAGAAGATACCACGACGTTCACTAGCATCACACAATGAGACCTGCCCTAAAGCTATCATACCATGTGAATACAGTAACATTGGTTGTAACGAGAGAATAATAAGAGAAGAGCTGGAGATACACAATGATGAAGCGATAACAATACACCTACAACTAACAACAAGACAAATGCGATTGACAAACGAAAAACTACAAGACACAAACGAAGTGCTACAGGAGAAAAGTGAAAAACTAAAGGAGACAAATGAAGAGCTAAAGGAGACAAATGAAATGCTAAAGGAGACAATTGAAGAACTACAGAAGACAAATAAAAAACTACAAAAGACAAATGAAAAACTACATGAGACAAATGTAGAGCTACAGGAGACAAATGTAGAGCTACAGGAGACAAATGAAGATCTGCAATTGGCAAAAAAGACAATACAATCTCTACAAGCAGCACTACAAGAACAGAAAAATCTATTAACAGTATCAAAAAAGGTGTTTAAAGTCAGCCAATGTACACAGAGGAAAAAAGGGTGGTGGGGTCCAGGCTTCTACACATCACCAGGAGGATACAAGATGTCACTACGTGTTGATCCTTACGGCAATGGTGATGGTAAAGGCACACACATAGCTTGCTATATTTACCTTGAGGCAGGAGAATATGATGATACATTGGAGTGGCCATTTCAAGGAGTAGTTACTATAGAACTACTGAATCAACTGGAGGATAAGAATCATGAGAAATATATCATAGCATTTGATCAATTAGTACCAGACGAAAGCAGGCAAAGAGTATTTAAAGGAGAAAATTCAAAAGGATGGGGTACACATCACTTTATACCATGCTCTAAAATAATGTATGATGCTGCAAAGAAATGCCAGTATCTTAAAGATGATAGTCTGTACTTCAGAGTCAGTGTAAAGGCTAGAGCAAAGACAAAGCCATGGCTAGCATCAACATAAACTGGCTAGCATCAACATAAACTAACAAAATACTTCTAATAGTTTAGTAAATTAATATTACAATAATTTTAGGTGGAGGTTATGTGTGTATGTAATTACAAGATTATCTACTCTTGGTAATTATAGAGACAAAATCATAAAATCATTAATACAGTACTGTGGGATGGTCAATTAAGAATAATGGTTAATTAACAACATAAAGTCTAACAACAATGGCTACTAGTAATAATGGAACATATGGTGGTTACAGCTACAATTTTGTGACTTGTGATCCTCCTGATGAGTATCTATGCCATATCTGTACACTGGTAGCACGGGATCCTCAACAAGTTACCTGCTGCTCCAATATATACTGTAAGAGCTGTCTGGATACACTAAAAGAGAAGGGCCAAGGGTTTATCTGCCCAACTTGTCGTAGCTCACTAGAAGGAAAGTACTTTAAAGATGGAAGAGTAGAAAGGGGAATAAAGTCACTTAAGGTTTATTGCACTAACACTGATAGTGGGTGCCAATGGAAGGGGACTATTAAGGATATTGATACTCATCTTCATAGTTGTCCTTATCAACTGGTACCTTGTACTAATGAGTGTGGAGCAATGATTAGGAGAAGTTCACTGAAGACACATCTAACAGACAACTGTACTCAACGCATTGTTAACTGTCAGTATTGCAAGCAAAGAGGCACATACCAACTGATAACAAGCAGCAGCCATTTTGATGAGTGTCCTGACCTCCCAATCCAATGCAGTAATGAAGGTTGCAATGAAAAGATATTGAGACATTCACTAGCATCACATAATGAGACCTGCCCTAAAGCTATTGTACCATGTGAATACAATACTGTTGGATGTAATAAAAAAATGAAGAGAGAAGAACAAGAGAAGCACAATGAAGAATCAATGAAACACCATCTTGATATAGCAATGAAGAAGATTGATGCTCTACAGGTCACAGTGCTACTTCCAAGAAAACATGTCTTGAAGTTAAATCAATATACACAGTTGAAAGAAGAAGAAGAGGATTGGTGTAGCCCAGGTTTCTACACATCTGCAGGAGGATATAATTCTCATTATGTGTCTATCCTA